ACAAACCCAAACAAACAAATGTGCCACGTCTATGAGGTACGGATGCAGTACACCTTAAAAAGTCACTCGCGCTGGTCATGGCCAAGGCAATCCTTGAGTTCCCCATAAGGCCTCCATCAGGACCATTGAGGGGGATCCAAGCAGGAAGGATCGTGATCTCAGTCGTGATTCATGTACCAAGCAGGAACCCAACTTCCTCTCCCAAGTATCGTAGCGCGTCCGTTGTTCGCCGCATATCCTCTTTTTTTTATAATAGAGATCTCGCAGGAACACGAAGCATCGTCACAACCTGTCGACACCCAGTAGTTTTCAATGTAATCTGGGACCCACTTTATAAATAAATATTTCATTCAAGGGGGAAATCATAAATAGGTATCGAATATATAGATAGATCGCTCTTGAAATGCTTCTTCAAGATTCAAGATCTTGAATCTTGAAATGCTTCTTGGCAATGGAAAGCATGAACTGCGTCAATAGGGATATGCTGGATGGCGTCTGAATCCGACTAAAATGTCCAACTGTGACTTCCATCATTCCCCGCAACTCTAGTGTCTTTCTAAGTTTATGGAGACAACGTCTGCGCAAACCTGAGTGAAACATATCAAATTAGCTCTTGTAACTTTGCACACACACATTATTGATACCAAAAAAACGCAGAAAATTTGTAAGATGTTGAGAATCCATTTTCTACCCAAAGCCTAGAAATCGGATTGTATCAATAAATTAAGTAATTAGCGGCTGAGATGCAAGAGAGCTACCGAATACAATACGGTAGGCTAAAACGTTTATACAATGTTTTTCACTTGAGTTATACAATTTGTCACTTGACTCTGGCACCCAAGCTTGTGGAACATCCCATGCACAGGTATCTGTCAAGTGAAAACTTGTCTGACTCGAATCTGGAAAAACAGGTAACTACAATTGAATAGGAATTTTTGCCGCATTTAGAAAACATTTTTTGTATTCAAGGTAATACGGCACCTAAAACTGAATGGTTATACTTGTTACACACGATAGGATGATCTACATTGCAAAGGGTTATGGCAACGAGTCCAATTGCGTCCAGAGACGTCATCGAAGCAATAACATAGATCTCATCTAATAAGAGTTCACCGGCTTGTTAACAATCGGTAAATGAGGTCAAGTGCTGAAAGCGAAATGCACATTCTGATGCATTCTAAGGAATAAGTATTTTTTACTCATTCATTTTAATGAAAGTTCGTTGAAAGAGTTCTTGGTGTCATCCAGGAAAAATCACCTCTAAGGTTCCCCTAACCCTTTTGTTTCCATTAAGGCGATAAGGTCCTTTAGAGATCCACTCACTGGGCATGACTTGCTACAAGGCCATCGTATTTGTGAAAACTTTTTAAGAGTGCATTCCAGAAGGCTGGCCTGCAACTCAGTTATCTCATTTCGCAGTTGTGTGTTCAAAATTTGATCGCTCCATAGACAGGCGCACGACGAAGTGCGACTTTCTGCGGTAGTCAATGCTTTTTCCGCTTGCGCTGAATGTTGAAACTTTCAGTTCAGTAAAACTTCGGCTTACCTCACTCCGATCAGACATGATCACCTCTCTACTGTCTTAAACCTCCATACCAAAACCTACCAGCTAACATTCCAGAATTGTTTGTCCTTGTGTATTATTTATATCGGGTGGTGCAAAAAAAAAAAATAGCGCCCTGTTTGACAACTTATGGAATCGATTGTGGAAATTCTAGGTTCGTAATGTTTTTGTATGAAATTTAAATAATTATAAAATTTGTTTCCTGAGAGTTTCACATGTCTAGGTTGTGTCAATATTAAACGACAGTAGTTCAAAGTACAGTCATAAAATATAACTTTTCCACGCATGATGTGAATACGGTCTCCACACCTCTCAAAAGATTCTCGCCTTGAACCACGAAGGCTGTTTTTCGTGTTGTATCCTCGTCGCAGAGAAGTGTTTTTATGCCTCAGGTGAAAAGGTAAGATCTGAATTTGATGGTGTGTTTATTTAACCCTGTCTCAGTTAAGAAAAACCTATTTTCTCTCTCGCCTCGCCTTGGGGGTTGGGGAAGGAGGGGAAAAAAAGGCTTTTCTTAACTGAGACAGGGTTTTTCTTAACTGAGACACTTAATAAAGTGGCTCTCAAATTTCCTTTCACTCCCATTGAACCTTTTCATGCATCTAGGGCAGTGTTTCCCAAACGGTGTGCCGCGGCACACCTGTGTGCCGCCAGCAAACCTTAGGTGTGCCGTGGGATTTAAGAGTTGAAAAAAAAACTAGAAATTAAAACTAAAAAACTTAAAAACAAGAGGGAACGCCATCTCTCAGTGGAAAACGAGCTGAGAGTTGCACTATCACGCCTCGTATCAAACTGCTGCGTTCAGCGAAGCAAGCACAAGTTTCCCATTGAAGGTAATTGGCTGGGTGTGCCGTGGAAAGTTCAAGTGTCCTTATGTGTGCCGCAAATAAAAAAAGATCGGGAACCACTGATCTAGGGAGTCACGACCCCCACTTTGAGAACTTTAACTTAAGAGCGCAAGTACTGGGAAGGAAAGAGAATTGTGAGTTTCCTATGAAATCATGGACTAAGTTCTATGGAGTCTCTTCCTTCCCAGGCCTTCTTTAACAACACCCTTTAACACAGTGACTTTTCATTTTAAAAGATATGACATAATGACACAGCACAGTCAAGGACATTGCAATAAGATTGCTATTATAACAAGCAAGCGTTTTGGCAAAAAATAGGGCGCATCTGTAGATTACTGCTGAAACCGTTGCCTCCCGAGGCGCAGTAAAGCGAATTTATCAAGTTTCAACGACTGCTGCTCTTTACCCAAGCAACCTTGATACTTCAGAACTTTCACCATATAAATTTGAGTGTTTTCTGTGGGATACAAAAGATTCACAAATTAAAAATTCCTACTTGTTCGTTTTATTAACTTCAAACAGGACGTATTTTTTTGCGCCCACTGGAACTATGCCGTTTTGCAATACATTTTCTGTTATTGTTTCTCTTTGCTTCTGTTGCACTTAAAAAACCTCGCCTGTGGAAAGTGTTTTCCTCTTTCATCCTTGTTTCAGACGCCTGTCTTCATTGCCCATTAAGAACGATATGGCATTTTCACCCTGTAATATATGTTCAGCGTCATATCCCCTCAAGCATTCCCCACAACGTGGGCATACATTTACATCGACATGGGGTCATTACTACACCTAGCACATAAATGTTGACTATAAGAGGAAAATAGCTTCTCAAAGTAAGGTCAGGTCACACTTTATTGTGAAGAAGAAATCACCTTACTTCCACAAGCTCAATGCTTCAAAAAGAATGTCACCTGTGAATTATAAGGCACTCAACAAAATCTGCACAAATTATGCATATGAAGAAAGAAATGCTCATTGACTCTGACAAAGTCAGATGTTGCTATCACAGAGAAGTATACTGTCAGATCAGTCTTGAAGGCAGATACAACACAAACAGGCACAAGAGGGACTTCTTCAAATTGGCACAAAATAGTGGAGGAAATATCTTTGGCACTCAGAGTCCACAAAAATGAGAAGAGTTTGGACAGTTTGAGAGATCAAAAAACTTCAACCATCATCAAAATGTTGCCACACAGTAATAAAATATTGCATCTTGCAAAATATGTTTGGGAAAAGTTTTTGAAAACTCAGCACTTATATATTGTCAAAGTAAAAATACTCACTGAATTCAAGATGATGGCAAGCTGTCACAGTAGACCAAAAAAATGAATTTTGAAGGGAGATTTCATGCCATCATTATAAATCCATGGAAGAGGTTAAACAATCTTCAATGAGAGATATTTCAATTGTCAAAATGCATATTGGGTGAGAAGGACCTATGATAATGGGTTCACAGGGGTTGGCTGAACACAACAAAAGTATTCTCTTACTTCCCACAACCATGAATGGCATTGAATTGTTATAGATAAAATTAAACTATGCCATTATATCACATGTGCTTACTCTGCTTTGTAATTAGGTGCATAATCAAATAATTCAAAATCATGACTAATGATAAGACTTCAAAGCAACTTACTTATCCAAAATGTGCATGCTGATTAATTATTGCATGTGGACTTCAATACCATAAATATGAATAATTTTTTAATCAGAATAGACATGCCTGTGTGAATGATTCTCCAAAATAAGCCTCACAAAAAAAAACATAAAAAGCAGGTCACAATTCCCAGTGCTTACAGTTATTCATTAATGGTTAGTTTTACACCAATGTTAGATTAGCTGACAAAAGAGCGCAATCCCTTGTAGTGCAACAGACTAAATGATTTAAGGGCCATGACATGGATGAACTGAAGAGCAGATGCTTAGCATTGTGAGTAAACAGAAACAAAAAGAGATGGCCAGCAGGATTCAGAGATGGGCAGAATGCAAGTGTATAAGAATTCACAAAGAAATGCAACATGACTCATAGTCCATGAGACCCCTAACTGAACACAGATGGCCATCAAGGTTATCCATTTGATCACATGTACAGGCAGCTCCAATGTAACACAAGGCATGGCTCACAGAAAATCATTGGCAAAATCACAAAGCCAGCTTTGATAACTACTCAGACAAAAGTGACTTTTGGCAGTCACTGCTTCATCTCATGCATAAAAAAAATTAGTTCTTGAAAACATTGTCCCTCCTATCTCCTAGGTCATGTGGCCCACCTGAGAGCAAGCCACAGTCAATCTTGGGGCCCAATGTGGGGTCAACAGAAAGTAATGCAGTACATTCCAAAGGGGTAGGGGTTTCTCTGGTTGCAGGCAAGAGGGGACCTACCCAACATTTCAATTTGTCCAAATTTTTTCAAATGATGGCAAGTGTGACATGGGAGCTGCACTTACAGGGAAAAGCATTGCTTGTGTGAAATGCAGGAGCCACAATCAAAGGCTTATTTGATTAAGCAATCAAATTTGAATATTTCCCTCTGCCAATCTGATTAATGAACCAAACCTTCCTAAGAAGCTTTGGCAGTTCTAATAATAATAACAATGATAATTATTATAATAATATTTTCCATGTGAAAGAGAAGCAAACTCATCTGAAGTTAGCAATCCCATCTTTCAAGGTGCAATCACACAAAAATTGAACCACTAGATTCCTTGCTTATTAAGCAGAAGCAGTCATCAGCTCCAAAATTTTAAAACTGTGAATTAGCTGGGCAGCTAAATGTTACAATAAGAGGGGTCCCTTGAAAATCCAAGTGTGTTACCTCTGTTTTTCAGTTCACTTTATTAATATTGGCTGGTTCAGGAGTATGCTAACAAAACATTTAACAAGGCCAACCTGTCTCCAAATTTGGAAATTAATTGGAAGAAACAACATGAAAACTATAGCAATTCTGATTCTTCATATATAGTGTTCCATGGACTCTTGTGCTGAACTTGCAAACAATAGGTCACTAACATGTGGCTCTCCCTGAGAAAATGCAAATGCCTCAAAGACCCTTTGGCTATTCCTCGAAGCAACTAACATGAAAAATGAAAAGGAAGCTGCAGCAGAGTGCATAGCTTTCAGAAAGACCATGATGATATTTTTCAGTTCAAGGTAACGTACTTTCAATGTTCTTTGAACTATGTCATGTTTCAGGCTGTTGAGAACTGCTCCTCAGTTCCTGAATCAACTGAGCCAGTTGTGAATGTGAACCAAGAGATTCAGGTTGTGCACGAATGCATTGCCTTTTGTCCACAAAATTTCTGTGGGAGTTGCATTCTTTAGAACCAGTGTAATGCACCAGGAGGCTTGGCTCCGCACCTCTCAGGACATGCAGCTGGGAGTAATGAATGAAGAGCCCTAAGACTCCATGTGGAAATACCTCTGGAAAATTCTGTCGACTCTGGAGCTCCTTCTCACTCTTCACCACTGCATACACATTGGACATCTTCTCTCTCCCTTCAGTGGACACAAAATAATCATGTCAGTGCAAAGACAAGAAAAAATGAAATAATGGTACCAAATAGTACCAATAGGCCTTGTAATAGAAAAAGGATGGTGAACTGACCTTGGAAATAATCAGACTTGAAAAAGCTCAAATGTTCATATGTGTGCTGATTGAAGTGTCCTGCATGGTGGCTTACTTCAAGGCGAATTGGGGTATCTCGATTTGGATATGCAACATCGGGATGATATTCTTCATATGGGATGGGAGAGAAAACTTGCCACCCCTGGATGGTATTTACTCGAACACGGTTGAAAAAGTCAGCATGAATCTCCCAGGAAAGGCAGCGTCCAACATAGAGGATGAGGCTGTCATCTGTGTATCGTCGGAGAACAACATCCAGAAGACCCAGTTCTGGAACTGGAACAATTGTATCTGGAAGTGTTAAAGACATCCAGGCCAACTTTGCTCCATGCTGCTTGTACCTGTGGTAGAAAGAAGAAACCTTCAATAAGCATAATGACATCCTCTTACACCCTATATCTCATATGCAAAATATTTAAGCTGAGTGATGAAAAAGGGGGTTCCCAAGGACAAAGTCTCAGATGTTTCAGGTCATGAGAATGCTCCAGTAACTGAAAAAATAATTCAATGACAAAATTCTCAACTCTCAATACTGGACTTTCCTTCACACTCAAAATATTCCCCTGGACAGATTACTCCACTGATAAAAATGCCCTTCTCAACTGGCTGGTTACTTATCTGTCTGAAGTGACCCAGTCAATCATTCTTGAAGCAGTCACTTCTGCCAGAGAGCCCAAGGCTGTGTTTGTGAAATGGAGCTTGTTCCTTCCCTTCTGGGAAGGAACAAATTGATTGCATTCTCCTGCATGTTCCCCTTCCATGGAAAAAATTCATCAGGAGAAGCAGATTGGAGGTGTGATGTAATTGGATGTAAAGTCTGTGCAAAAGTGACCAATGGTCAAATTTTCAAGAATGGTGAGCATTTTCATACTCCTGACCCAGCCAAAGTTCACATCATGAAACTGAAGTCCTGTAGAAAACTCTTGTGGCTAGCTACCAAATCAGACCAGCTGAAGGTTTTCTTCAGGGCATCACATTCAACCTTGGCAAACTTGCATGAATCTCATGAATAATCTCATGGCTTCAATTCTCAACCCTTTGCCATGAATCCTCAACATCAGTGTCCTCTTTTTTATTCTCCTATATGAAGCAATTTTTTTTACCACTTTTGATTATGGCCTGACATTGAGGTATAGTATAAATGTGAGAAGTTGATTACCATTTGAGCAAAACTTTGAACTGTCCTAGAATGAAACGTCATGTTCTTAGAAGACATTCAGATGTTTTGAGGGAATTTTTTTTGGTGGAATATCAGGGTTTTCCATCAGGGATTACTTAGAATTACTTGTCTTTGAATATTCTGTCACCTGGAATGAGTATCTCTGTGTCCCAAAGAGATGGGAAGCCAATGGAGCCAAGCAGGTAGCTTTCAAGGATGCCAACTCAAAATGTGCAGCTTACACAGTGTTTCCCATTGACTTTTGTACCTGCCACATAATGTTACACACGAGCGGCATATTACTTCGTACTCCTTTCAAAATGATCAGCACACATTGCATAACATTTTGTACCCCTCCTGCCCAGCAAGCAAGTGCCACTCTGAATGACACATCCATCTGACAACCCTTGGAGAGAGAAATGCATGGTTTATGGACAGTCCTTAGAATGGATGGATATCAAGTGCCCAGATTCACGATTAATCTGAATTACTCCATGGAAAGACATGTAAGTAAATGGAAAAGAAGTTCCACACTTAGGAATTCTTATTGATGAAATACCAAATGATATGATTTGCATCAGAAGTGGTCCTCTTTCACCCAGGCACCATAACAACCAAACGTGAAACAGACAAATACCATCCACAGGAGGATTTGTGATGCAGCCATTGTTTCAAGGGTACTGGGCATGGTTCCCATCAGGGTTGCCAGGTGGTCTTGCCATTTTGAGCTGCTCTGGAGGAGTGGAGGAGAGCAGGTGGTATGAAACATTATGCAACACATGCGGTTCATTTTGAGGGAGGTGGGGAGTATTTTGCTGCTAATGCCTAGCATTCTGCAAGACATGCAAAATATTCACTGAGAAACACTGTAAGTTTCAACTTATAATCAACTGAATGTTTTTCACACATTTGAATTATTGCCTTTATTGGCCTAAAACTTACCATTGTTGTTACTATATCAAAATTTGTGAAATCACAAAATATTGCCACCAATGGTTGAAAAGAAAAAAAGTCTTCATTATTCCATTTGCAGTTCTAGACATTAACACCTGATTCTGTGCCAGTATCTCAATTACCTTATGGGATGGTAATGCCTCAGTACTTGATACATTCATCAAAGTGAAAAGACATCACATCTCCAACTTTTGATTGGGGCATATGAAGAAACAACCAGTATCATTTTTGAGAAGGAAAATGTTGAGATCTACCGAGTGGCTAAAGATGTAATGTTTCCCTTGACCCTCACAAATGGGTCTTTGCTCCCCTGCTCAGACAAGTATTGGATTAGCACCATCATCAGGAACACATTCCCCTTGGATTTGAGGAACTGAGATTCATATTCAGCAAGGAAGGCTCCTGCCAATTCAATGTTCTGTTGATCAACAAGGGAGATGATGCACACACGCCGTGTTTCTGTCACAAAAGGCATGGGTATTACCTCCACTGGACCTAGGGGGCGAAGACCCTCCAACCTGCAAAAAAAAAAAAAAAAAAAAACTTATAAACATTGGTATAAGACAGGGAATTGAGAAGAACACTTGGTTGGTCAATAGGGAGTATCCAGATAGAGAACATATTTGTAAAAGAAGCAATTGATGCCATAGAAGAAACACAAAAAATGCCTATTTTCAAGTTTTCTCTAAATATGCATATTTACACATTTTTTGCCCATTTTTGTGGGAAAATAATAAAGTTTTCCAGGAAAATGTGTTTTCTTTATAAGCAATAGTCAAATTTTCTTAACAGTCATGTGCTGTGACAAGAATAGACCAGCTCTACCCAGTAAGAACCTGGTTTTATCTTCAAGTCCAAGCTTCCCCTAATTCCTCTCTGTGGGGGAAGCAGAAGCTTGGTAGTATGAAATGTACTTTGTAGTTCCATCCTTAAAAAAATTCATTCTGGATTATGAAAGACATGTTTATTAATGCATATTTTCTCAGTTTTATACTTATTTCATGCATACTTTGGTATATTAGCATTTCAAGTGCACATTTTGGCATTAATGAGTACATATTTATGTGGATTCATTTGGACTTATTAGTGCATAAAATCCACCCCCAGTGAGGAAATTCCTCTCTCACCTCAAAATTTGAGGAGGATCCCCTGTATCAGGTAAGAACTTCAAATCCACAAGAGATTCCATTCCACGGACAGGGTCAAACCGCCGATATCCCTTCACAAGACCCATGTACTTCCACCTTGGCTTGTTAACATTCATATAATGAATGCTCTGGTTAAGAAGATCCTGCAAGAGATCACCATCAATAATGCTTCACACCATGTTTCTTCTTCCAACAGAGTTGTCCACCCTATGGTGAAAATCCAGACCTCAGTATCAAATAGCTCCAGTTGTGAAAGACTCCTTATATTGTAGGATTCTATGTCCTCAAAGACATGTGAAGCATTGAAAACTTCCCACTGAAGAACATCAAACCGGGAATGAGGTTGATTTTGGGGTTCATGGCTGATGGGCCATGAAACTGCATCATGACCCCAAGGTGAGAGATCAGCTGCTCTCCATATAGCTCCTTCATGTTTCTTTATCTTCCCCTGGACCTCTCTTTCTTCTAGCTGAAGAAAAAATCAGTACCATAGCAATTTCTAAGGGTTTATCTTTACCTCAACATGCTGGACTCACCTTGGATACAGCCCTGTGAAGTCGGTAGAAGCCCAAAGGTTCACTGACTTCTGACACTGTGACAACATCCTTAACAATATTCTCCAGATCCTTTGTGAGGTCAACTGGATAGCTCCTGGAATGAAATATCTGCCCCTGGAACAGATATCAAAAGGGAACATTTTTTTGGCTTACAAAAGGCACCTGGTTTCCATCATGCACCAGCATCACAGAAAATATGCCATTTGGCTTTACTTGAGTAGAGACTGACATGTAATAGTAAAAAAATCCTTTAACAGAAGAAATTTAAGAATGTTGGACTTCTTCCATCAGATTCCAATATTTTGTGTGAAGACACTTACTGTTACTGAAAACTGAATATAGGAGAGAAGTTGTGTGCTAAAGAAATCTGGACCTTTCTTCTCCCCAATATTTGAAGGGCTGAAAGGAAAAGTGGTCTATCTGCAAAAGAATGTAAATGAAAAGTTGACTTAGTGCACTTAGCACCCTTTTTCCTTTTGTTGAAAATGGTAGTTTTTGTGAAGCATATAAGGGAGAAACTGGTCTTCAATGCACACTGCTTTCACTCGCATCCAAGAAGGCAGCCACTGGAATATTAACTCTTTTTGTAAGGAACTGGAGAAAAGAATTGTTTGCAGGTTAGACCATTTTTCTTTTCAACTGTTCATTTTCATATGAATATATATTCCCATATGCAAAAGATGAGTAAGGTCTGGGCTCCTCTAATGCCTTTCCATGGATATATACCACAAAAGTGCTTGAGTGTACAGTGGAAAGTTATAGTTATGTTGGAAACTTGCCTGGATTTGATCTCTACACTGAATCCCAAAGGATTTCTGGATACAGAGACCAATGTTGGCAGAATCTGAATCAGTCTGGGCATTCTCCAGGCACCAGTCATGGTATGCAAGCAGAGACTGCAGGACACTAGCACTCACCAGAATCCCTGCATCTAAGTATGACAAAATTAATTGCCTGGAAATTAATTGCCTCAGTTGCTCACAATATTTCATGTTCAACAGATTTAAAAACTCCCAGTATCTAATTACATCTATTACTTTCCACACTTTCAGCACATTTTCCAGATACTGACTGAAAGCACTCAATGTAAGAAACAATGCACGAATGTGATGTAACAGGTTTTTTTCATGAAGAAATAAATTATTGACTGGAATTTCTTATTAGAAGGGTAATTGTTTAGTAAAAAAATCACTTGCAACACAGAGCCAACCCTCACCCACACCCACCACCCTTACTAACAGTAGAGTGGACATTGGAAGCAGGGGAGCATCTGTTGACTTCCCTCTTCCCTGTTGCAAAACTTGCAAAGTCGCAGTTTCATGCCTGGACCTGCCCAGACAGGCAAAACAGGTTCAGTTACCCTTGGGACATTGCCCTCGTTCGTCTCTCTCTCGGCATCGCAATCTCTATTTCCACCATTCTACCCTACATTTCCCCATCTCCTTTTACTCTTTTTCATTAAATCTTGAATGGGTGATCACCATCAATCAAAATGAACATAGACAAAGGAAAATTATTTCCTTGAAGTAGGAACCGAATGAAAGTAAAAACTTTTCCTTTCCTTTTTTAAAACATTTTAATAATCTCTCAATGTGTAATCCAGAGTGTTAGGTATGAGTGTTTAATAAATGAATTTCTTTTTCAAATGCATTTTACTTGTTTATTTATCTTATAAAAAAAAAATTTATGAAGGGGGGGGGTCATATTAGCTTTTGTTACTGATACAGAGTGTTACAGAGGGGAGGGGGGGTAAAAAAAATTCAAAAATCATGTTACGTAATTTGTGAATGGTCCCTTACATGCTCTGGCATCTATAAACACAAAGCACACAAGACATCCAGTCAATAGTTATTCTTGTCAAGCCAAAACAAATGCGCACAGATAAAAACTGTTCTAGTCATCAATAAGTTCTCTGAGTTTCAGGTGAGTCAAACTCCAGCTTGCAAAGGAACTGCCTTGATGCTATAGAGGGCCTGTTCTGCAGAAATGAAGATAAGAGTAATAGCAGCAGGCAGGAACACTATATGGACTAATTTATCTTATGGCTAAATCCTGTGTACATGTCTCAGGAGTTCCTCAAAGAATTCCTGAAATGCTGAACAGTTCTGTACCTTTAGCATCTTGGCTCCGTCTAGCCTTACAGCATCCACCATCATTTGCAAATACTTCCTTCAATGTGGCAGTTTTGAAATTGAGTGTTTTAAGCAGCGAGTTCTTTGGGACACATTCACTTCATCGCTAGTATCTCATGCACCAACATAAACTAGTTTGATGCCACATACTTGGTTTGGACTGCTGGAATCAAAATAGTCTAACAAACAAAAATTAGAATGCCAAAACTGAAATGGAAACTTTCAAAGCAGGGTTAAAATTTAAATTATCATAGCCAAATTTTTTCTAGGCTTCTGCTGAATACCTTCCAGAAAACCTATAAAGTGTTTCATATGGCTTTGAATACTGCTTTGTAAAGCCCAAATAATCTTCCTAAGGACTGAAGTTGTTTAAAAAGAGTGTTCAATAGGGTGACCAATAAATTGGCCCAGTTACTGAGATGTGTGCCCTCTATGGGTGGATGGACATTTAAACTTTAGAGCATCTCACTACACCATGGAGAGGACAAGTATGGGATCAATATCAGCACCTAAAAAGATGACACTGGACCCATAATTATTTTTCCTAAGCTGTAATGAACTGATTAACGACGATTCAAGACCATATGATCCATAACTAGAATTTCTCATTTTTGTATTTATTGACAGCACATTTTGAATTACCTAAAAATGTTTATCCACACAGCCCTGGAGAATGTTATGGTTAATGTTTTGGGAGGAGGGGGCTGCTGAACAGAAATTCTACATATTTAGAGGTTAAAGGAATTAACATAGTGATCAATAAATAAATCTCTGATTTACCTCTGCAAAAGATAGTAGGATAAATTGAAATCTGACCTAAAGAGCAGTAGGTGAGGTCAGTTTCAGTATCCAGGATAGGCAAGCCTAGATACACATGTTGACTGATGCTGATGCGCTCAGCCAGGTTGTATAGCCAGTGGCCCCTCACATATGTTGAATCCTTCATGATGAAGAAATAGCTGTACCTGTCCAAAAAGTTCTCAGCCATATAACGTAAGGCATTGAAAGGAAGTGCCCAGGGTCTATCATCGGTGAAGCCCACAATGGATGGCATCTTGAGATGGATCTCAGATGCATCCTGTGCAATTAGAAAGTACACAATCTTGTCTACATGATGAGCCAATGTCTTGTTGATCCCAACAGCAAGGCTTGATAGCCGCTCTGTATCTGTCAAGACTCCAGCAAACAACTTGTCCTTGATTCCAAGTTCTGTAGAATAGAACCGAGGCCTGGAGAAAGAGAATAAAATAACCTCTTTTGATTTCATGAGTCTAGGAAGGAGCATTTAAAGGTGCTACAATTTATGGACAAAGAAAATCTAGAGAGAATGTCCATCTTCCAACCCTGTCAATTGCATTCAGAGTTGTGAATTTGATCTCTCCTGTTTCAAAAGCCATCCCACCACTAATTAAGAACAACCAATAAAAACAAATTGGCTCCCCACCTGAGTAATTTCTGGCCTGGCTTAGGAGTTTTAATGTATTTGGGGAGCAGCAATCTTGGCTGATAGTCATCCTGGATCTCATGGAGTGATCGTCCATGTCCAGAGCTCAAACCCACTAGACTAGCAAGAGTTGAGGGGTTCACAGGAGCATGGAGGAAAGGGCAGATGTCATCATATATAGGGAAGAAAAGAAGGCCCAGTGTGAGTCCCAAGCAGATCCCACCAAAGAATGGGGAACCCAGATGCCTGACTTGGGTGAAGAGTGCTCGCACCACAGCCATTGAAATGCATTCCAATGCATAGCTTTTCAAATCCAATCCCAATCACAGGCTCATTACAAAAAAACAAGTGGACATGGGCTGAAAAAAAAACAGCACTTGATAAAAAAAATTTTTTAAATGAGCAGCACCTGGAAAAGACATGGCATCTCTAATTCCACATGAAATGCTTTTATGAGAAGTGATTCCTACAAATAAGTTATAGCATGTGATTTTCAGGTGACAGAGGTCAATAAAACCTCCAGGAAAGAGGAAACATCTCTGCCTCTTCCTTACCATATCACAAGTTGCCTTTCACTTTAGGCAAAATGAAAAGTCACAGCACAAATATTATATTTTGATAAGGACCCGTAAGGACAAACAATATGCCGACTCAGAAGCAGCATAAAAAATTGACACCAGAAATTAGTTGCTTGTGCAGTAGATGTGCAAAATATCCAATTCGATTTGATAGTTAAAAAAATAAAGAAATGCAGAAGGCATGTGAGTTGACAAATGTATGACATAAATGCACATACAAGACCTGCAATAGTTTGAGTACCAATAGTCTGATGTAGGTGATAGAGATTCAATGATATCAAATTTTCACCTTTTTTCACAGCTGCTCTCTCAGCAGAGATCGATATTTCTGTCAGAGATGCCTCAAATTCCAAAGCCATTTTGCACATTGCTATTGGACGTCCGCTCCATGAGCTGATATTTAAGCACTTTCTCAGCAAACCTGGGGAGTACAAAGGAAGCCTGGTGCACCTCTGGTGAGTAGTAGCGAAGTTGCAAATTCTCCTGCTCCTCCTCACTCATGTGCCACAGTGGTTTGCGAAAGTCAGTGGCCTGTAATAAAGAGAATTTTCATATCTTTTACAGCCCACCACTTCTTTCAGAATGGATGCTTCACTCAGAGTTCAAAAGGGGAGATTGGCAAGAGGAAAGTGTTAAATCCAACATAATCATGAATGCAGGTTTTGATACAGGAAGGCTATGGAAAAGGTGTTTCCATGCTGATATCTTCATACTAATTCTGTTTACTCTTTTGTCAGAGTTAAGGTGCCACCCTCACAAGTGACTCATGAAGTAAGGAAGTTCTACACATAACAGGGAGAGTGACTGACTTGGATTTGAATGAACTCTGGCAAAGATGTACAAGTGAGAATTCTGAAATTCAGAGTTCTGTCAGCTGAAGTCAATGCAAGGTCATACAGAGTCATTGATGACCAGTGAAAAAATGAAAAACTAAGGAGCTGTTCCTTCATGTAGCTCCTTTTCTGGCATTTCCTCCATCCCAATTACCCTAAATCAATCAACACTAAAGAAAAACTTGTTTAAATTTCCCTCAGATATTTCATCTTGGCACTGCCTTGCAGTTAGACACTTAACAATGCCCCAACAGCAAAGTGGCTTGAGGGGAAAAGAAAAGGACACTGCTGTCATCAATGGCACCATTTTCTTCTCAAATTCCTCAGGTGTTCAGCAAGGTTTCCTTGTATTGCCTCATCCTATGACCTTGAATATTTCCTCAATTTTCCAGCACCTTTTCAAGAGCTCCCAATCTGTGCTTTGTGAATGAAATCCATATGGGTGATTGATCTATTAGAGCAATATGTTCCACTCCCTTGCCCCCAATTAAATCGGAGCGTTGAGCAAGTTTTCTCCATCTAACACCCTTGAAACTCTAATCAATTTCATGGTAAACTAGTATATGTTCATATAGCAAACTTTATTCTAGATTACTGAACTCCATCTTGGTGGTGCTTTTCTCTTGGCAATGAGTGAACACAGTCAACCCTCAATACACTACCACTCTGTAAACCACCACTCTCACTCATTGCTAACTCTTTCCTGAGAACAAATCTTTCTCATAAGCTTATAGGTAGTAGGTGAAGGTAGTAGGTGAAGTAGGTTCACCATAGTAGGTGAAGCCCTACTATGGTGCCACCCTCACAAGCCACCATCTAACACCAGCATTTACACAAATGTAATTTATTTCACATAAATCATCCTCGATTTTGCACCAAGTAGCATACTTGCTGCTACCCTTACTCAGTAATGTACCCAACTAAATAATTTTCAGACTGTCCATCCAATTGCATATGAATTTGAGATGTGACTCATAGCTGTGAAATGGATAGTGCATGGGAAAAGTGCAAAGTATCAGAGGTGTCTGTGAGTGGCAATATAAGATTCAAATCCATTTATTTAATTTGTGCTTCAGAGATTTCAGTATCACAGTAAATTTCTATACTACAGTTGATTCTATATAGTACTACCTGCATAATAGAGCCAAAATAGGCAACAGCCAACTGGCATTATATTAAGGGTTGACTGCATGTATGTATATCATATTTATGTATTCATAAATATACTTATACTATATTACTTATTTATACAAATAGAGCTCATATCCCACCGGATTCTTGCTGCAAAGCAGGAATCCAATCTGGCCACAAGGATACGTAGGAATGGATGTATAAGCATAGTCAACCACAGGGAATTTCTTGCTGCAGAAACCCATGATATCTTTGATGAGATCAAGATGAAGCCAAAAACATTCTCCTTGACAGCACATCAATCCATCTGGTTTCAAGGCACTCTGGATGGAAGAATAGAAAGACTCCTGGAACAATACCTCAGCTGGTCCTGCAATGAGAAAGTGATTAATTTCATTGATTGAATGCCTAATATTTGTTTCAGGCATGAGAAAACCATTCCATTTACTTTTGCCATTTCAGCAAGGCTTAAAAGGCACAAAGAGTAGTCTTGGCTAATTTTATGATAGGGTTAACTCAACATTTGAAAAAAGCACTCCCAAAAACTTAAACATTTCCCCTGCAAATTTTTCCAGTATATTCTGACTGAACCAGCACTGTTATTTTCAGCCTTAGTGGAAAATCACTTAATATCAGTGAATATAACATACTTCAGAGAATATTGTATGCATCACTTTGAAATTTTAACTATATATTTCTGAGTGCCAACTTCATCAGTTTTTCACATTAAGATTACCACACTCCAATGCATTAAGCAAAGGAGAAGGTGAACTTCAATTACAATTAGTTTCTTCACTTTACCTTAAGGTCACAAAAGATTACATCTTGGAACAGGAATGATGCTGTACATTAAAACTGCAAAGAAACAGGATGAAGAAAAGTTGATTAAATGTCTGTGTCTTTACACCATCAGGAGTCATCTTGTTACCCTTGTGAATACGGCTACTGCTTCTATTCCTGGAGAGGTGTTGCTGAATGAAATCTAGTAACAATGTAACTTATGTGCATCAAGTGTTTACATGCTTCTACCAATGATTCTGATGAAATGTCCCATTATTTTGGGACAAGGCAGTGAAGTATTTAAGGATTATCACACAATCACAGAATTAGCTAATATGTATCACAGTTACTTCAGCTATCACAATTAATGTACTCAATATCAAAATGAAATCACAGGATAACCATAAGATATTGGAGTGAATAATAAATGCATTAAGCAGGCAAAAGTCAACATTTCTTACTAAATTATTTTTTTCCTGTCACAGGTTGAAAATGCCTGAATTTAATTTACAACAAAGAATCCTTATCATATCATTCAAAAAATATCGCAACCCATGGCCATGTATATAATTATTTTCCTTTTTCAGGTGAAAAATGGCTGAAACGAGATGTTCACTTGAAGAAAACATATTCTTAGTATCCAGTTACATTTGAAGTAGGAGTTATACTGCAACCTAACATGAATTTAAAGAATTTAAAGGTATGGAGAAAAAACATGCAGATCAGTACTGGAAGATACTGACCCAATTATTCGATAAATGTTCTGTTGCAATTGTTCAAGACTATGAAGATTATTTGCATACACTGAATTTTTCAAAAAGGACCACAGGAAAAAGTATGGTGGACTAAGGTCTGGGAATCAAGGTGGTCATAATCCTGCTGATATAGGGCATCAAGGAAATTTTGATTCCAGGTATGCCATCGTTGCCAAAGTTGTGCAGGCTGTGGCAGTGTCCTGTTGAAACCAGGTAAGCTTGTGTTTGCCATCATTCAGTGTAGCAACTAATTTCTCAACCATGTCAGTGTGACGTTTCAAGGTCAATCTTTCACTAAAGAATGTGAAGAAAATAAATTCTGTTGATGTTGTGCACTGTTTGTTTTCACAATACCAGTTTCACAAAATTCTTCATATAGGCACTAGATGATCGGTTTATATGGAACTGTTTTCTCTCCGTACAGTTCTTCAAATTCATGTTGGGCTGCAGTATAATTCTTCTTTTAAATGCAACTAGATACTAAGAAGATTCTTTTGTCCAGAGAATATCTCATTTCAGCCATTGTTCACCTGAAAAATAATCTAAAAAAACGCATTTACATGGCCATTGGGTTGCTGTACTTTTCAAACACCCTGTAGAAGGCTAGGAAAGTGGTTCAGTGGTTCCAAATGGAACCACAAGCATGAGAGGACAAAGGAATACTGATATGAAATGGCTGTCAAAAAATGAGGAATTGAGAAACCAACAAACCAAGAGGATCAGAGGAATCAGTGATGATGATATCATATTCTTCCCGGTTTGAACAGAGAAATTCAACACCATTGCAGATCTTCACCTCTAATTTTGAACTTGAGAACCCCTGAGACATAAAAGGCAGGAACTGCTTTGAAACTTCAATAACTCGCTCATCAATCTCACACAGGGTGATCTTTTCCACTCGAGGATCTTTTGCAATTTCTCTAGCCACACCTCCATCTCCTCCACCTATCACAAGAACCTGAAATGGAGTGTGTATCAACTGTTTGTATGACAGAGGTTTTATCAACTTCTCTCTCCATTTATTGCCTTCTGCATATTAGGTTTAATGAGAAAGAATGACCATACATTCTTGGGAGAAGGATGGACAGTCAGAGGAATGAAAGCTATCATCTCTTGATAAGAGAATTCATCCCTCTCAGTGCACTGGATTGCACCATCAAGGACCAGGACTCGGCCATATTCCTGACTTGGGGAAAACAGATCAGATAAGCTCAAAAGAGTTTATTAAGCTAATTCCAAAATGAATTTCTGCCTAGCAACCTTTTGAAAACCAAGATGTCTTGAAAAGAAGTTTTCTCCTGATGAAGAATTTCATCCACCTTCAAAGAGAAACACTGGCCTGGCCATAAGGGACTTAACTCTGAGTACCAATTCTCTCCCAATTTCTCCATTCCACAACTGGAAAGAAATGACAAAGTATAACACCTCACAGCTATGCCTACCTAGGCCAAGGGTGCAACATGGAGGCTGTACATAATGAAGTCAAGGTCTGCAGTTCTAACATTTATCCAATTGCCTAAAATGAATCAGAAAGTTTGAGATATGACTTGATTTTAGGTCTTTTAACCAATTTTTTTTTGTATAAAGTTTACTCTTCCAATTAAACTTACAGTATCAGAGATGAAAATGTGAGGTAAGAATTAGCCCTATTTAAATTGGCAATTATTGCATCCTGGGCAGATTAGTTCCTCCCGCATCTTAGGAAAGAACACAAATTTTTATTCCTAGAATGCATACTCTAGCAATAAAACCAACTCCCTCATTAAACAGCCATGGCTGCAATAAACTAATTTCCCTTCCCATATTCAACTTATCACCTTTACAGTGGAGTATTGGGGGAATTGCATGTTGATGACTATATAAAATACATTTAAGCTATTAAGAAAAACAAAAAAAATTTTCTGCTTATAGTCAGATTTGAAGATGCAGCTACATGGGCCTTCCTGCACCTGAAGCCCTTGTGCTCCCACCCTGGCTACCAAGGCTTACTTGGGAATAATACTGGATAATTTTCAGATAAAAAATAGCAGCAATCTGTTACAAGGAACAGATCATGTCTAGGTATTTAGGTGTTACATTTGATGATCATATAACTGGAGATATCACGAGAAATAAATTATTACCAAGATACCTAAAAAGTAATGAAGTACTTTGCAAAATTAAATACTTGGTCCAATGATAGTTTTCTACAATGCTACATCTAATCATCAAAAATTTTGGACAGTATATGCACTTGTAAAGACAGAGTGGTTAAGTAAGCAAAAAGGAGAATGGAAGAGACTACATCAGCTGTCATGGAGGTGGAATGGTTGGTTTCATTTATACTGTGCCAGTGTTTCAAAAAATGACAAAAACTCTGAAAAGATGCCTTGTGAAATGTATGTGTGATCACCATTCAGGTGCCATTGGCTTACTTCAACTGTCTGATGACTCACCCCAGGGTCCTTCAACTCTCCCCACAAATGGAGGTGTCTTGGAAGCCCCTGGCTCTAGCTCAAGCAGTCCTTCAGCTTCTCAGGATATAATTAAGCCTGATTGCTCTCAACAATCTGCAATAATGATATCAGCATTATCATCTGATAACTTCTCAATAAATTAGATGAATTGAAAGCATCATGAAAGAATGAACTATGTAACCAGTTGCAGCAGATTCATCATTCAATGTCCTTAAATTCTATATTGAAAGATTCTTAAATCCTAAAGTCTAGACTGTCTCTATATCTAACAAGAAAAATCTTGAAAAATAAGGCCCTGAAAGAGAAGGCAAATGACCTGGAATTTAATTTAAAGGAATCAGATAAACCAGCCAAGCTTGCGAGTTTGAAGCTTCAAAGTGTCCTCATCAGGAGGTAGATTTAAATATTTAGAGATGAATGTGGTATTTCTGTCAATATTTCTCATGAGCCATCTTAGCTTGATTTCACATGCCAAGTGCCTTAAGCTTACACTCCTCATAGCCCTGTTATTATTCAATTTGTCAGTTGCTGCAAAGGAAATGATCTCCATGTAAGGTCAGAGAAGAAGGCAGATGCTATTATGTTTGCAGAAGAAAACTTCTCTCAATCAACCAAAAGAGATCTGTATGATCACCTTCAAATGCATGCAAAAATCTCTCTTCAGTAGACCTCTTAGAAAAAAAAAACAGGCCGATAGATGAAAATAACTTTCTGTTTCATGAGGAAAAAGTTTAATCCAAAAGCAGAAGGGATCTTAGAAATGACTAATTTGTCGATCTTGAAAATATTCCATGACATTAAGGTCAGCAAATTCAGTGGTTTCTTCATGGCTAAAAATTCATATAATGAATTTGAATATGTTCTTGACCTTATATCCTCACATATCATGACATCTTCCTGATCTTACAATGGAATGCCAAGAGCCTAGTAAAGCAATTTAATATTATGAAATTTCTTTGCAGTGTAAATCTTCTTTGCAATCATGCTCCAAATGTGCTTGTCATTATTGAACTTGGTTGAGTGATAATCTTATCTCTATGAAACAGGACACCAAAGTTTCTTGTTAGCAGATTCATAAAGGTAAAGGGCGAATCATGTAAAGTTAAAATGGAATGCAGTTCCTTTCAGCTTTTAGCCAACAAATGGAGATTTCACTTGGATGACTAACTCCTCATTAAAGGAGGGTCTCTTTTAATGAAGAAAAGAAAGGGAGTTGAACCAAGGACCAATTCTTACAGACTCCTATGTTAATTTGGAGAAGTCCCTTTCTATATTCCAGAGATTACTCATCTCTATAATACTATTGTAGATCTTTCTGATAGTAAAGATTGAAACCTGAATATTCCTTGGATGCCATGATGATATTTTTTGGTAAGGAGCATGCTGTGATTTTCAATGTCAAGACTTTGTGTAGGTCATGAGCACTGGGCCAGTGCTTTGACCCTTTCAGAAATCAAACTGACTTGAGAGGCAATAGTTGGTCTCTAAAAAAATGTTACCTGCCTCTGCTAAACCAACTGTTCTATGACTTTATGAGAAAACTGATACCTCAGTAATTATAGAATAAATGCTATTATTATTTTTCTTCATTTTTGCATCCTGCAATTAATTTACTAATTTAAACTAATTCAGGAAGATACAACTGGAGAGAAGGATATTAAAGATATCCAGGAGAGGTGAGATCAGTAGGTCATCAACTACTTGTACTAGGTAAGGAGAGCCCATCAAAATCAATTACTGTTTTTGTGTCAAGGCAGGAAAAGAGAAAAAAAAAAACTCTCCAGCCTAAAAGGTCACAAGAAGTGCAATGAAACTATCATATTTACAGATAACATGTTACATTTTGGACTCAGTCTTAAAAGCAATCACATAGGCACAATGCATTTGAAGATAGGTGTATTTGAGCTAAGTACCACCCCAGTATGTTGGGGTTTCATCAATCTGGTGGACACCTGCCTGTACAGGTGGACACTTCATAAGGTACCTTGACTGGGCAGATGGACATCATGGTTATTGTAACAGGTGGCCAAGAATGTATTTTTCTGTTTCTATTCTACCTGCAGCCCTTTATGTGTGTGAGCAGCACCATATTGAACCTCAGCTAGAAGTGTGGCCCTTCCTATGTGACTAAACTCCTGTGGACCAAAATCAATAAAGAAGTCATCCATTCTCATCCAAATGATTAAAACAGCAACCAATATCCCCAAATTGCAGTTTGGCCACATCATACTGTCGTATCTGGTGAGGAATGTCACCTGACCTTGCCATTTTATGATCCACCTACCCCCACTGACTTCTTTTTTGCAAATACTGCACCTCAGGATCACATAAGCTGGCCCTAAATATACAGAGCAGAATCTCAGAAAATGCCCAAGATGCATGCCAAAATAGTACCTGTGACACTCATACCATCATTACTCCATGCCTTGTTTTACTTGGTTTTATGTCTAGGAAATAAAATAAGGAAGATTCAGTGGAGTCCACATTATTAAATGCTACTAGTCTGGGTCAGCTCAGAGTCCACACCACTGATTTGGTGCAAAGTGAGTGTCCACCCAATCAATCAAGCCCAAATGTTGATCATCCATCACAGCTGCTATGGCTGTCATGTTCCATTGGTGTATGTATGATACTTTAAGTCAGTGGTTCCCAATATTTTTTGAGTTGCAGCACACATAAGGACACTTGAACACAGCACACCCAGCCATTTATTTACTTTCAATGGGAAACTTGTGCTTGCTTTGCTGAACACAGCAGTTTGATCCGAGGCATGATAGTGCAACTCTCAGCTCATTTTCCACTGAGAGATGGTGTTCCCTCTTGTTTTTAAGTTTTTTTTAGTTTTGGTTTTTTTAGTTTTTTTGTCAACTCTGAAATCTCACGGCACACTTAAGCCTTACTGACAGCACACCAGTGTGCCTCAGTACACTGTTTGGGCAACACTGCTCTAGGTGACTGCCTTTAAGTCCAAAATATAACATGTTTTCCAGATTGGGGTAGGAAGCTCTAAGGCACAAGGCTCTTAGGCTACCATCTTAAAAGTGATAAATCACCAATCATTACAGAAGTTATATAGGCATTTCTGAGAAAAGTGCAAAATTAACTTCCTGTTACTTCCAACTTTGTATGACACTTAAACATCTTATTTTCCATTAAACATGTTTCAGAACCTAAGGCTAGGCTAGACCTAAAACATGTAACGTTAAAGCATATTCTAGCAGTGACAGCCCCGTTAATACGCAAAATATCTTCAATCTAATCAGTTTAAAGACATGCTCACAATAGAAGGTCTTCTATCCCTGCACAGCCCTTGTAGTTCAAGGAACCAACTACTGAGCGCGCCTAGCCCACGCCTAAGCTTGCAACTGCATCTTTCAAGGAGCGACAGCGTTATTTTCAGTCACCCGCCTCCATATACACTCTCGGCGCATCCAAAAGTTTCCTAGCCATGGAACTCAGATAAGGTGACCTGTCGCTATCTGGTAATACCCAACGAAAAGCAGAATTCATTCCTCGCTCTTGCTTGAATGAACGCAGCCTTCCAGGTTGGATAAGAAAATGGGACCCCGGAGCTGCTTCCCAGTCAAGCACGCAGACCATTCGTGAACTCGAGTTCAGTTTCGTTCAGCTGTTGAACACTTACGTCAACATGCAATAAGGCATAATATTAGGCCAATTCCGCTCCCAAGAGGCACATGCCACGCGGCCCAGCAGTAGCGAAAAGGACGTGCTAAGTAGTATCAGTAGTGATCGCTGCCATGTGACTGACAGGGATGACCGATAGAGATTTCCGATATATACATGAAGTTCACTCATTCCAAGTCAACTTATCCGCAAGGGCCATGGAGTGGATTACAATCATCCACGATGGGATCCTTTCCAGTTTCCAGCAAGCCCTTCATGTTCTATCATTTGCTCAGTTCCTTTCGAATTTTTTTCCTT